TAATTATTATTGTACAAAGCGGTTAGATTTCGTGGATTAAATCTCCATTGGGGCTATTCACATCCATGATTGTACTATATTAAAAGACCCGTTGAATATCTCGAAATATATTATTGTACAATAAAATAAGCTTGTGCAAATTGTTTTTTTAATAGGCTCTTTTGTGTAAGAAACCTTACAACTATATGTTATCATAGTAAAAAGCCCCAAAAAGATTGCAAAAAAATAAGCATCAAAGTAACCTAATTGCATATCTCCGTATATGACGACGACGACACCTGAAACAAAGAGAAGACGACAAATGAAGAACTACTGTCGAAGAACAGTACAGACCGGTTCTTCCGTCAGACCTCCATAAAGCAAAACTAAGCACTGGACACACAGACGAGTTTTCTTTCGACCACCTCCCCCTTTCATGCTCGCCGCCACCGCATTCCTTACACCCCCCCCTCCCCCTCCGCGCTTAGGAGTCACTCTCCCCGTGCTGACCCTTTCCTGCCCTCCCTCCTCAAATACTGAATCTTTGTCTTCCACCACCGTCGTAATAAGCAGCCTGTTGAGAATTAATTGCAGCGAAACAAAATGAATGGCTGGGGCGGAGATATGGTCCCAAGTGAAATACTTGGACCGAAGAAATCCTGCCAGGAACCACACCATCTGTACACCATGGATATCTATAGCATCCCCAGCCTTATGGCTCTTATTCTACAAAAATTTACCTTCGGGATGCAAGGGCATTAATGCCTATAGCATTCTTAGCTATGTGGATAAATCTCTGTTTTGTATTTTAATGCAATATGTAACTATGATGGGGCATTTTTATACACATACCTACCTGTGCCATAACATAGCCTCTGAAATCCTCAGTTAGGATATTAATCCCAAATCATCCCCGGCCCTGTGGTCATATCACTCTTCTGCAAACATTTCCTTGCACACCTTCCTAATTTCTGGAGCCATCGTCAATAGTTGAAAACTCTCTTTTTGAGTATCTTAAAGTGAATTGTGAAACGTTTTGGGTGAGTTTCTCTACTCTACTACCTTAAATAGCATAGGTTAATTTTGCATATTCAAAAATGGAGACACAATATACTTTTATTGATCTTCTAGTCAATTGTGTACGTCTCAAGAAAGACGAGATCTCAAATTTGACCAAACCAAAACCCACATTCGAATGCTAACATCGTATGTTACAATAATAAAACATTCCCTGAGTGATGTACGGGTATCATTTGAAATTCAGAAGGTATCCGGGAGTGAGGAAATGTCAGAGACAATAATAAGGGATGAAATTCTCCATATCAAAACTTAGAAAAGCACACCATCATCTAGAAGGCTTATTCCCATTTTCCTCAATTACTCTTAAATTTGCATAACTCGGGGTACCTATCATAGGACCTACATTTCCTTCCACTACTCGCGTCATTACTCCGTCTCGAAAGTTTTCCCTCAATCAAATGCTATTTCACCATCTATTTGCATATTTGTAGCCCTGGAATATGTAATTAGGCCATAAAAACATCAGCTCGACGAGATGTTAGTTAGAAGTTTAAGGGTGAAAACTTTGCTTTTCAGTTATTCCTATGTGGACACAAGAGCCTGCTAGCATATATTATTCAAACACCATAGCTAAATATATAACAGAATTATTAAAATATAAGGAAATAGTATGCAGTATTTTTTTATTTATTTTTTTTTTCTGTAAAAAAAAAAACTATTCAAAATATAAAGAAGCTTTCGTGCTCATTCTTCCTCAAGTTAAACGTTAGACCGGCGTAATATATCGGTAGTTGAGGTCAGGAAGCGGTGGGGAGAGAAGGTACCACTGAGCTAAAACTGACACACTTTATTTGAAAGAAAAACTCGGGTTTCTGGAGCACCGAACATTCGAGTCTTTATTTGTTTTTAAAACCATTTTTATCCGTAACCACCAGTGATGCAAATCTTCACTTTGCATATTTCGTGTCCTCTGCCTAGTTATTGATACCTGTAAGTATACAAATAAGTATATCGCGATTCTCTGTTTGAATTCTCCAGGAACCAACAAATGCACCCTGAGATGATTTATTTAACTACGGCCTTTTTTTTTTAGAAAACTAAAACAGTGTACACGTTTTAAAAAGTCTCTTGTCTTTTTGTGCAATTGTTTTCTTATAAAGATTTCAGGAATTACTTTTTGAAATAGAGAATATCTAGTTATTTCAGGTTATTGTTATAGGTGCCGTGTGATCGGCACGCCCACGTCGTGGTCACCTCACCACAGGCATATATGTAAATAGAGGATGTCGTGTCGAAAGTGCAGAGTTAAAGTACAAAGCTAGGGCTAGAACACGAGGATCTAAGTTGCTGTAATACCATTGACTTGCAGACAAAATGTGTAATCATTTCCTCCGGTTGATTACGTTCGTTCATATTCCCCGAATCTCCTCAGTATATGAGCAATAAGATAGAATGGAAGCAGAGCTATGTCGTTGGTCCTATAGAATGGAGAGAGCCCCGGCGTGCTATAAATCCAACTTCTCGTTATCCCACTGCAGGGATAATGGCCATTGTACGGACGGACTTCCGGCTGGCTTGGACTAATTGCCGGGTCCCCGACACTCTGATTGGTTGGCAGGGGATTGTCTGTCGACACGGTGTTCAGTCTGGTGACGTATATGTTGAGATAGAACGGCGGTTGGAGTACGTGGCGAAACCTGGAGATATGTAACTATGGTTTATACAATCTCTCTCTCTATATATATAAGAGTCAATGTGTGCCCCATACGTTTCCTCAATATTTTATCAACCTGGCTGAATAAATAAATATATTATCTATATTTTTATAAATACTTTACAATTTTATGAAAAAGTTGGTGGTGGTGTCTTGTTCATATGGAAAGGGGGGGGGGGGGGGGGGTGCCATTGCCCCGTTAGTCAGCCACATTTCAGAGTTCCCTGTTCACGGTTACTGTAGCGGCCCGGGTCTCACGACATCATACTTCGCCCTACAGGGCAGTCCCTTACTTGTGCTGCTTCTCCCGCCCGCCACGTAGAGGAGGGGTTTGGACTTCTGGGCGGGATGAAAGAATTATATGGTATATAATGATATTCAACGTTTTTCAAATGAGGGACGTCATTGGAATTCCTTCTAGGAGAGATTCGGTCAGTTCAGATATTAGAATGTCGGCTCTTCATTTTCCGCATGGGTCGCTCGCCTCCCAGGTGTCACACGAGGTCGTGCCGCTAATGTTCCCCCAGTTTTTGCGCGACGAGGGGGCGTCATTACGCGGCGCCTTAGCCCCGGCAACTCATCATTTGGTCGGCCGGGCCATGTGGTGGCGCGAGGTCCGGTGCACGACATTCTCACTTTTTTATCTTCTCAATTTTTTTCTCTCTCTATCTATCTACCCTTCTTCTCAAACGCACATTCTTTTCTACCCATCTCTCTTGCAATTTTGTCTTTTTTATATATAACTTTTTCTCATCTGTTTCGTCTCACCAGAGCTGTCTTCACTCCGACATCTCTTTAACCACGATCTGCGTGAATTTTTAAGGCAATTTTATTGACACATCTTTCAATGGTAAATCTTACACATAAAACTAAGAGAAAAGGGAGAAACTACGCACACACACGACTATTTACAAATATATACATTCGCGGAGGCTTACCCAACGCCGAAAAGTCAGGGGGCCTTCGTTATCACCCCATTTTGTTAGAGAAAAAGGACTGAATGGACAAGTCCAGTACTTTGCAGAGTGAGATAGAGAGCTTGCTTATTAAGAATGATTTAGTAAACGTCTCAGCGAACACCCGGGTTTAAAGTAGAGATAGAGGCATCATTAGAGAGTAATAGCAAGAAAGGAAAACCACTCAATTATGGCACACAAAAATCTGTATTGTAGGTTAGTTTTATTTAAACTGACTCTTAAAGTGCATGTCAAACTTTTCAAATTTTATTTTACCGTCACTTTTAGGCGACCCTGTGTTACCCCTTTTCAGTGGATGACTAGAATAAATCTCCACAACATCCTTTTATAGTTTTACCTTGAAAACGATAACAGATAGAAGTTTAAAAGATTGGTGCTTCAATTTAATGATGGTACTGTGTGTGACATAGTGGTTGTAAGTGTTTCATAAAGCAGATAGTCTGTGAGGGAGAAGGAATGAGAGACACAATTGAATAAATCGTTGAGAAATATGTAAATATGTAACAAGATGTTGTGGAGAGCAAGTGTGGCGTGTTGTGGTTTGCCGAGCTGTGTGGGGTGGACCCAACATCCCCTTGTGTTGTCTGGATCTAAGCGTATTACCCCAACATTTTTGGCGTAGTTGGGATCGATTATCGCGGTCCTTGATCCAATTGTTGTCCCCCCCCCCCCTCGTTGTGCCATAGAAAACCATTTTTGTTTTGGTTGTTTATCTGGAAAACAGACTTCTCTTTTTTTGGTCAATAAAGTCATTTAGAATCGTCAACTTAGCGCCACCTATTTCTTAATAAATACAGACTATATAGCAAAATTAAGTCTATTACAAAAGAGTAGAACGGTGTGGTGAATTAAACTGGCGAAACCGCTAGGAGGGTTCACCACCGATTAAACATGTCCATCTCTTTTATTTACTTTTTAATCATTTGAGTACAAGGTATGTAGAAAGTGTTTGTTGATTGATTCTATCCCAATAACTAGGGGTTAAGAAAGAGGAGAGGAATGAATGCCTTGTTGACGTATTGTACTAGGATCTTACAACCGAGCTGACAATTGTAAGCTGAGGAGGATACACTCACGTGACAGAGACTCTTAAAATAGAAGGTGAATTGCGTCTCCCATCGTAACATTCCCCTCCGTAAATATAACTTCTAATACATGGGTCTCTATTAGTTTTTCTAACCTACGACTCACTCTTTTACGTACTGGAAACATGTCCTCAACGATATTCCTACGAACTCGTATTGTACTCTGTTATATGTTTACGTATACCTTTCAAACATATTCAACTACCTCTCACAAACACGCGTGCTGTTTAAGAGATGTTTGCCCTGGGCGGGAGTTGTACGATCTAGACAATTGACAATTTAAACAATTTTATTGATTCTTCTAATCAATTTTTACAAAAGTGAAAAAAATATATATAATAAAATAGTAAATAAAGGGTAGATAAAATGTAGGGGAATATATATAGTTGTGTATGTGTACAAATTTCTTCAGTAAGGGAGGCTTCCCCACCTTGTACGATCTAGATGTAAGTTAGTCTGTTTTTTCCGCGGCGTTATTTGATACTATCTTCGAATTAACTTCTTTGTAGTCAGCTTTTATATCTGACGGCTCTCTACTTTGTAGCGAGGCATTCTTGCTCGTTCACTGTTTCTTTAAAACAGTGAGTGGAATCCGTTATAAACAGGAAGTCCTTCACGAGGGGCGTGAAACTCGCGGCGGGGCTGGACTGCCCGTTCCAGGAACACCTTCGATCCGACCGATGAATTGTTTATCAAGATCGAAGCGACGCATGCGCGCAGATATTTTTAATGATCGTATGACGTGGTCCATAGAATTCTAGAATACAATAGCCATCCCGTAGAAAACACCATTGTGGGGAATGGACACTCAGGTAGAGCTGGGATAGAAGTTTGAGTTGCACCCTTAGAATTATCCACATAAACGTGTGTTTGTTTCCATATCCCTGGTCTCGTGTATCTACAGTTGAAGATGGAATGTTATTCATCTCTATTTATTTTAATCCTATAGAACGTATTTCTATAATTCGTGAAATAGAATTGGGAAGGCTTGGCTCATCAGTGGTTAAACCTTCCCACCGATTTCTCCAATTTACCACTACACGGTACTCAACCGGATCTAAGCTACACCACCAGATCTAAGCTACATTGTATTGTTTATTCTGCTTATATATATTGTCTGTATTGTAAGGATTCTTCTTACTGATGGTGTTTAAAAAACGAAACTATAAACTAATCCATCTGTAATATTGTAGAAAAATTACAAATATTTCTGCTTCGAGCACAGCACTTAAAGACACGCCAACAACACGGCTACCTGTTTTGGCAGCATCAGCAAACATTGTTGAGGATGGCATTATAAAGTACATCAATGAAGACATCTCGGGCGGCACTGTTTATTTCCAAGAAACTATCGAAGACTTCGATTAGATTTTTCATGGCGAGAGGGGGAATCATTCATCATCATTATTGTCATTTCCTTTTCAGAAAAAGTGGGATGGCTTTAGAAACAAATGGAGGTTCTTCAACTAAGAAACCCGAATTTACACCTCCCTAAACTACCTGTCTTGGGTTTGTTACTGAATTATCGTATCCCTTGAACCGAGGTAAACTTACCTCCCATCGCACACATTTTGTGCCTTTTAAAAACCTTTTTTTTTTATTATCGTCTTATATAGACCCGTCCCAGAGTTCAAATAAGAAAAAACAACAACAAATAGGAGCATGAACATCAATATGTAAATAGGTATAATCAGATATATACAACTCTTGGCCACTGCGTCATTTCTTCTAGGCATCTTTCCTTTTTAAACGATATTTTTAGTTTTTCTGTTGAACTCTACAAGTAAATATAGGACAGTAAATCAGAAAAACAGCTTGTATAACTTTGATTTGTCGCGTTGGTAAGACTGGAAAATTTTCCCCCCATTTTGGTGTTTCTAAATGAGAAGTTTGCGCGCCGCGCCAGTTAATAACTTCGTATAAGTTCCGCGGAAGGAAAAAAAAGTTGATTTTTTCTTCTTTAAAAAGAGAATCAGTTCGATTATGAAGAGAAAAAATGTTCAGAATGTCTTTTTGTTCCTCCATATACGTCTAGACATATAACCGAGTGCTAGGTTACGTGGAATTTTCTACCAGAGGTGTTGGCTACTCAGAGAAAACAGATGTTGATTCCCACATGCATCTATTCTACTTTTGTATTCTTATTCCCACCGTTTCAACCACTCCATACAGCACAGCTCACCCTTCACAAACAAGGAATAGAAGATATGTCCTAAGAAAATTCACCGCTGATGAATCAAGCTCTCTTATCGAATTTTTATACCATCGTAGCAAGCCAGTCCCAAACGTTTTGACGATTTAAATGAAAATATTCTTCATAAATGTAATTTAAAAATGTATTAACCGAATGAAAGAATGTGAATTACAGTTAAAATGTTGATTTGTGGTATTTTAAAAAAGGTATTTAGAGAGGATTTCTTGGTCAGTTTCTACGGGAGGAACCATCCTTAGGAGGACCTGTTGTGTCAGACAATGGCCGTCCATGCGGAACATCCTGCATTCTGTCTTCCGCCCCAACAGGAACGATTAAGGCGGGCCCAAGGAAAGAAAATATTGACTGAGGAAGATAATAATTAATACCATAATTTCCATCCTGGATTAAGAGCGGCTATCTAAGCGGGGCCAATTAGAGCCCTAATCCCACAGTCCTCATTAGCTTTTGTTTAAATCCCTCGGGGAATTTGCATCCTCCAGCTTGCCCGCAGGTCCTGGTGCTACATTCTACAGAAGGTCTACAAGGAATATATGAGTCAGGTGATAAATGACATTCGTTTAAAAAGGAAAGATGCCTAAAAGACATGACGCAGTGGTTATGTATCTCCACACACACTAAGACTCTATATAGCTGACCTATTTACATATTGATGTTCCTGCTCCTATTTGTTGCTTGTTTTTTCCTCTTTGAACTCTGGGACGGGTCAATATAAGACGATTATAAAAAAAATATTCTGTAAAAGGCCCAAAATGTGTGCGATGGGAGGTAAGTTTACATCAGTTCAAGGGAAGCGACAATTCAGCAACAAACCCAAGACAGGTAGTTTAGGGAGGTGTAAAGTCGGGTTTCTTAGTTGAGGAACCTCCATTTGTTTCTCAAGCCATCCCTCTGAAAAGGAAATGACAATAATGATGATGAAAAAAGATTTTGTCTGGTTTTTAGTTAGAAGTGGATATCGCGCTCTACCAACCCCCGCCTTTTGAACAATGTAGACAAAGTACGATTGGCTCTTCGCCATCTTACACATAACCCTGTACTGGTGAGGGAGTTAACCCGAAACCATGTCGTTATAGCAATTCTTCATTCTATACAGGAACAATAGACAAAGTATATTGTTTTGTTACATTTTTGATCGGGAGAAGCATCCTCTTTGCAATAGCAATATCTTACTCCCGAAAAATTATACACTCTGTATATCTTTTGAAGATATTAAAATCGACAAAAACATATTCTTTTTTTTTTATTCCATTGAGGTGGTGCACTTTAGATGTATCGCTCTATAATAAGTATATATTGAATATTTATTTAGCGCTAAATGTTCTGTCTAAATCTCCAAAAGCGTCCCATAAAAAAAGGCAACGCAAGCTATAGGTACGACATCTATCAACATCCTACCATTGGGTATAGTGCTGCATACCTGCTCGGTTTATCTTGGATAGTGGGCTACCCGGTGCCATGTGAGGTAGTCGTCTTCATGGCCACGAGTCTCGCTAGTCTAACAAATATACACCGACTTGATCCAAAATAATCTCCAACGACCTTGTTTCTTCTAGCACCGTCGCCTCACTGAACTCTCAACTTTAATGCTTAATACGAACTCCGCCTTTGCCGGTCCCAAAACCCGGATGAAAAAGGACCAGGTGGAGCAGTAACAAGCTCACTAAAAAACCTGGGCTCAGCTGGCCCGGCTGATAGTACCCTGTTAGGATTCCTAATCCAGGGATACAGGATGAGCAGCGTTTGTACTCCATGTTAGGCGAGGCTGCACATGGCGTCTGTTCCTCATGTCAGAGGCGGCCATTTCTTTTAGAGCTAAGTCGGCCTGCCACTGAATAGTGCTCCCAGTCTTAATGACAAAGGCAGACGCATTCTACTTTACCCAGTGTGGAGATAAGGAAGAAGAAGATGCTTAATACGGTTATTATCAGAACATAGCTGGTATATCGAGGGTTCCCCGTGTTGTGGTTTCTAAACCAACCTCGAGTCTTCAACCTGGACGACTCCATTGTTAGCGACCGCGCCTCCCTGACAAATTTATGGAAGCGCGCGATAAAGGTTTGCAACTTCACGAAAAAGGTCACGTGGTGGTATCTTCAGTTTCATCGCCGGAACGCCCATCTCGTTGTTTGCGCGCTGTAACAACCTACTCAAGTGTTATCTTAAACTGTTTTACAACAAATCCCCTCTTGTTTTAAACTTTTTTTTTTTAACCAACTTGGGATGATCAACCAGAAAACTGCCCATTTCAATGTTTCGGGCCATTAACCCCGTGGGGAAGGAACTCTTGTCTAATCCCTTTAGAATTAAGCTATGAACACTCATCATTCTGATAATTTCGAAACCTATTTATTCTCTTATAAACCTTCTAATTAACCTTCAGACCGATCTTACTTCTAACAACCTGTATCTTCTCCAAGTGTTGAGCCGTGGACGACCTCCCTACCATATCCGGCCTATGGCACTGGAAGAATTCACGGCTGGAAGTCAACCCGTGGTTTCTCCGGTGCTATTGACCGTGTGTGGCGCCCCGTGGTCGGCCACTCTCTCTCTATACTGACTTTCTTTCCACTAACTCAAGAACTTTCCACTCTGACACCTCCTAATAACTCAAGAACTTCTCACTGTGATACCTCCTAACCCAAGAACGTTCCACTTTGACACCCCCTACTAACTCAAAAACTTTCCTATCATTCCACTTACTGGCTCAAGAACTTTCCACTGACACCTCTTACTGGCTCAAGAACTTTCCACTGACACCTCTTACTGGCTCAAGAACCTTCCACTGACACCTCTTACTGGCTCAAGAACTTTCCACTGACACCTTTTACTGGCTCAAGAACTTTCCACTGACACCTCTTACTGGCTCAAGAGCTTTCCACTGACACCTCTTACTGGCTCAAGAACTTTCCACTGACACCTCTTACTGGCTCAAGAACTTTCTACTTATTCCTCTTACTGGCTCAAGAAAATTCCACCTTTTCCTCTTACTGGCTCAAGAACTTTCCACTGACACCTCTTTCTGGCTCAAGAACTTTCCACTTACACCTCTTACTGGCTCAAAAACTTTCCGCTGGTACCACAAACAAACCTTCCACTGATACCACTCCCTACCAACTTAGAGGCACTTTCACACATTTGAACTTCTACCCAGCCCTCCTCCTGGTATCGATTCCCACATTGTAGCCACCAACATACTGACCAAACTTGCTGTGAACGAATGAAAGCAACACTAGAGCTGGGTACGGCCTGTATGTAATTCGCGCCGATCCAATTGTAGATCTGGCCGCCGCGCCGGGTTATTAAAGTGCTGATAACCCGTTTTTTTCTTTACCCTTTAATCGGCGGGGATTGAATCGCCGGCCATCTGTCAGGTGATGTCATTCACGAGCCGTACACCTGAATACCGTACTCACACACCCACTTCTGGATATCATTTGGTGGACTCATTCGTGGAATGTCGCACTTTGACTTTTAGACCGTTTCGATTATACCAATGTATTCGGAACAAGGATTTTGTCTTTCACTCCGCGGGATCATAATCCAGTTCGTATAAAACAAGAGGTAGGTGTCAGTTCTATAGGAAAATTATTCCAACATTCAAGAGGGTTAACCATTGCTTTTCAACCATCCATCGGATTATTGGATGAAGATATTCCTGTTCTATTAGAGCTTCCTTTTTATGGATAGTCTTTTGATATAATATTATAGAGTCTTCTCCCGAAATTGTCCATGAATTACATTCTCGGCTTTCCCGGTCTTCCTTTCTTCCATACCTTCTCCCTTCAGTAAGAATACAGTTAACCACTCCGAGTGTCTGACAAGATGTCCCAACATGCTCCATCTCTCAATCTAGAATGTCCTCTCCGAATATTTCTGGAACATCTTGGTTATTCAGTCCTTGGTATTCTTACCATTCGTTGCCACATCTCCTGTAGCTTTAAGGAAATAGCCGTAGATATTGAAGGCTCTCCTAGTATGAATAGGATTTGACCCCAAGTGAGATACCGACGTTACAACAGTAAAACTAAGACTCGACTCACGTATAGATGTAGTTGTTGTTCTTCTAACTGATGGCACGGTGCCAACCTTAAGTTGTGGGACAATCCTTGCTTAGCCACAGCTTCTACCGAATCCTGATGTAAGTTCATATTGATCAGTAGGTCGGGAAGAAGCTATTTGGATCTTATGTTTCAGGTCTTGTGTCGTCTACTTGGTAATTTTCATATACGATCGAAAATGGGCAGTTTTTTTTTTTTTATTAGGAACCGATAGAAACGCTTCATCCAAGAACAGTAAATCTATTGTATTTACTGTTACTTTGTAAGTATGAGAAAATATCTGGGTAAATTATCTTTCATTCTCAAACAAAATAGAAGAAAATAGCCTTCAATCTCACTCATAGTTTTGTTGTAAGTAATTTAAATATGTTCCCTCTATGTTCTTTTCGACATAGCGCTCTTGGAAATAATTTAAAGATAAAAATATCGCTAAAATAATTTTTAGTCTTTCGAATAAGACAAGGTGTCGGAGCTTATCCTACCTAAAGGAGGGGAAAAAAATCTTAACACTTTGATTAACGTTTCTATTTGAGTCTTTCTTATTTCTAAAAAGTTTTCTAAGGAAATAAACCACACAATTTCAAGTTTGTAACCGAGTCCTTCAGTTATTGAATTCTAGACAGGATTAAGCAGAAGACAATCCCCACGCGTCGTCTGTAGCCTCTTCCTTCATTACAATATTTACATATTTACTTGAATATGCGCTTACGTCACAGGACAGCAGGCCTGTCTGTGTTTTTTTTTTTTTATTTGAGGCAATTGGTTTTTTCTTCTATTGGCGAATCACGATTGTAAGGAATGTATTTATTTTATTTAAAGTCAATTAGAACATTTAAGAGATTTGTGTTCCACCGAAGTACTACACAAATTTCATCTAGATGTATATATAAACAATTTAAAGTCAAAGTTAACATTAGGTATAAATAGTAAAAAAATAATATACCTTTTAAAAACACAATAATATTGCTATTTACATTAAAGATATATACAAGTAATAATTTTACAATTGAATTGTATCAATTTTTATAGATTTTATAGTTTTATATTTATAATACATCTCTGTAGTAGTAGGTCATTTAAAGAGAAGTACAAAATAGAGATAGTGTGGCAATCTTTAGAAAGATATTATTTTAAAATGGAATGCACAGACAAAATCTACATTCATGACCAGCTCGGAATCTCGCCTCAATTCACTCGAAGTTTTAAAGGCGAAAGAAGAAAGTATAACCATATATGTATCACAGTATGTACTATTGTATATAATAAGTACATAGGTAAATGATCCTAAGTGTGCCTAGAAGTGTTGGAAGTATGTGCCATAGGATTGTTGATAGCTGCCACCACACAAGACCATAACACACGCCGACCGGCCGACCTAACCCGTTGGTGACCTTTGGGAATCTCCCTCCCTCCCTCCGCTCTTCCTCCTTCCTTCTTCCTCTTTGCCGGCTTCCTGTTTCCACTGCCTCGTCTCCAAACACCCGTTGCCTACTTCTCCCAACTGATGCTGCATCGCCTCCCAACACCAGAACACCCGCTGCCTCGTCTCCCAACTCCCGCTGCATCGTATCCCAACTCCCGCTGCATCGTATCCCAACTCCCGCTGCATAAGACTCCCAACTCCCGCTACCAACGCTCCCAACTCCCGTTGCTTCGTCTCCCAATTCCCGCTGCCTCGTCTCCCAACACCCGCTGCATCGTATCCCAACTCCCGCTGCATCGTCTCCCAACACCCGAACACCTGCTGCATCGTCTCCCAATTCCCGCTGCATCGTATCCCAACACCCGAACACCCGCTGCATCGTATCCCAACTTCCGCTGCATAAGACTACCAACTCCCACTACCAACGCTCCTAAATTCCGCTGCCTTGACTCCCAACTCTCTCTGCCTTGTCTCCCAACACTCGTTACCATCGCTCCCAACTCCCGCTACCTATTACTCCTCTTACTTTTCCATTTTGTTTTCACGTGATTTACTTTATATATTCAAATTTGGCCTTAACTACCCTTTTCCTCATTTTCAGGAAGAATCTTGTGCCAGCCTTTGTGGTCGTCCGAAACGCGTACGAGGTTGACTGGCCAATATTACCAAATTAGCCGAAATCAACCTTTCTTTTATATTATTTTTTCGCTAGAAGCTCATTTGAGCCGACAAGATATGACATTTTTTATATAGTTCATCTATATATTATAAAATATATAAATATTCTTTGACAATCTTTTTTTTAATGTTTTACCATTGAACAGCGAGGAATAGTCGTCGCCTATCCTGGCTGTATACACTGAGGAAATGTTAAACGGAGGAATACTCGGACGTGCCGAAATATATCATTCTTCAATGAGTATCATATCCAAGGGCATCGAAGTTTGAAGTCTTTAGCGCACTTTTTAATTAACAACAATTCCCGACAGTCCCTCATGTAAATGGGTACCAGTGTGTCGGAACTTGTACTGGTTAGTGGTGGTTCAATGTAATATGAGGGAGTTGGGAGGGAGACGACAACTCAAGGACCATTTTACCTCATTGGTGTGTGCGTGTATTAGTAATTTTACAACAAGGCGATAAACATGGAATAATCAGAAGAAACGATATTTCTTGTGGCCAAATTTTGTGACAACCCGGGGGATAGAGAAGTGGTCCTATCAGCCGTGACTGAATAGATAGCTCAGGATAATCCATACAAATAATTGAAAATCTTGTGTTCAATAATGATTTTCATATATGGGCTGCTCTATAATTCGCGTGTATAGAATCCATTTATGCAGTTGACCAGCAGAAAACGAGAATCAAGGAACATATATTCAATATCAAAAATCAGAGATCCCTCATTTATCACAACGTATCAATTATTAGCCATAATCTCTCTCAATATGCCATTCTAAGTCTATCAAATCAGTAAGATTGACTCCTTAATACCCTAAAAGACAAGAACAGTAGGAAGGAAAATTCCAGAAACACTCCACCATAAAGGTTATCATGTACAACTACAATGAGAGGAATCCTATATATCTCTCCCTCCTACCTTCACTCTTAATATCACTTTTTTAACCTGTTGAAGAGCGTGAGCTCGAAAGCTCGCGGTTCGATTTAATAAAGACACACAGCGAAAGGAAAGCGAAATCTCCTATATAATATGCACAAGCCGTACGTACGCACAGAAACTATATATAGAGTCTAAGAGGCTCCACCACACAATAATTCTATTACATTTTCTCCACAAGAGGAATCAGTAATTATATATATATATGTAGTATTTCTTTTACCGCGATGATGAGGCTGAACGATGGCTGGCCATGCGAATCTGTGTGCACTGGTTGATTGACATACCGCGGTTGTAAATATATGAATCTCACTAACTATATAGAAGTACCTCTCCCTTTAAAATATATTAGAGAAATGAATTCTGTTTATCACAGTACCCAACGTAATTGTGGTGATAAAGAAGGAGCAGCAGTTTTGTCAAATTCAGACAAATTTCTATCAAATAATCCCTTGCATCCATATTGAGTAAAATCAATCATTCCTCCAGGGAAAAGTGTATTTTCAAAAACATTTTTATTGTTCTCTAGCTTTCGGGCACGGACGTCCTTGAAAAGACACTTTTCCCTGGAGGAATGATTGATTTTACTCAGACAAATTTGTTTACCATGGTTTAGGGCAATGGTCCTCATCAGTACTTCGAGATTTCATAACATTGCAATATACGGGGGGAGGAGTCAATAAATTTCCGGAAAATGTAAATAAATGTAAAATAGTGATTTTTAACATTTAGGGTTTATTTTTCGAAATAGTCTCCATGATTAAAAAACACTCTTTCCCAAAATTTTAATAAGAGTAGTAAAACTTTCTAGAAAACATTTTGTCTTGATACGATCTTGCACCGATCCATGACAACTTTTTAAAGTTCATTATTGTCTTTAATTTTTGTCTTTCTCAGTAAGTCAGAGCTCTTGTTGTTCTAATATTTCATCTTAAGAGTCGTTTTAATATCATAGAATAATATTCACTGTTTATTAGTTTTTTTCTTTCTTTCAAATGTTCTATATAAATAATTCCAAGAAAAGTTGCCCTAATTTTGCTCCTACCGAATGAGTCTTTGAATAATGAATAGGCGGTCCGTTTTTGTAATGGCGCTGATACTTGACTTTCTAGAAGTGCTATACGCATTTAAAGTAGGTTTAGTTTTATCCGAGAATTCTCTATAAAACGCCCTATAAAACGAAACTTAAAATATCCCGCATCAATTTCGATGCCATCTAACGTATATATCGTATTTCAGATGACACGAGGTCTGTTAGCAAAGTATCCGACCTTCGGGCAGGTAAAAAGCATGCCTACCTGGAACGCTGCAAACCTAACAACCCTCAAAGTTGTCTTCTTGGGACTCCATGCATTTCTCCCAGCTACATTGTTGGAAACATTTCGAGAAAGCATATTTCGGAATGGAGTTTAGCTCAGCTGTCGTTGCAGTCATAATGTCCTCTCATGTCTGAAAGCACTTTCCTCTCAATTGTCTCTTGAGTTTGGGGTACAGCAAGAAGTCGCGGGGAACCATATCAGGAGAGTAAGGAGTCTGGCGAGCCACAGGAGTCTGGTTTTTCGCCAAAAAAAAAAAAATCTGAATCAAGTGAGAGAAATGTGCTGGGCAATGGTGTGATGGAGGCACCAATTTCCTGTTGACAACAACTTCGGTCTCTTGCGCCGCACAGCATCACGTAGGCGACGGAGTACATTCCTGTAGTACTCTTTGGTGATTGTTTGACCCTGTGGTGTCGTGGTGTACCACACAGCGGGAGTCAAAGAAAGAAGTCAGCATCACTTTGACGTTTCTGCGCACTTGGTGTACCTTCTTTGGTCTAGGTGACGTGGAATGCTTCCACCTGTGACAATTGAAAGGGCTTTTTATGCCTATATTGTCCCCAGCTTTGTCTTTTGATATAGCCAAATTTCTTTTCTGTAACAACTGCCGGCTTATGGACTGAAAATCTGGGAGGCCATTTGCTTCTAGGATGTGACAAATGGTATTTGGTTTTAAAATCGCCCCCGTGCATCCAGGACTCGTCACCAGTGATTATGATGTTCATTTATGGCTAAATTTGATGCAGAAGCGCTGCTCCAGTCGTTCCCTCATTTCCCTTATAATGAAAACCCAACGAGAGAACTAAACACTACCTCACTCAAACGTTGCTTGCTATCTGACGCTATTGACAGGAGATAAAAAAAAATCAAGCGTGCGTATGAAAGTTCAAGGTCGCCTCATGCAAGCGCGCTTCATTGAAATCCACCAGGTTTTACACACACAAAACAAGGTCGGATACTTTTCTAACAGACTTTGTATAATATAGGGGGTACCTCCTGGTCTATAGATGGTAGTGAACCATCGGCAACATTCATTTTCACGATCCATGATGTGCTCTTCCATTATATATGTATATATAGAATAGCTATGTATTACCTCATCCTTATATATTTACAATGTATTATCCCCTATTTTATAATATCCTCTTATAATTGGGACGCAATCATTTTCTTTTTATTCTCCAAATAGAAAGAGAGAATAAAGAATATAAGCCTTACATACATTGAAGATTGCCTGGAGAAAAATTCCTCCTTTTGTACGTTTCAGGAACACAATCTCTCCTCTTTGAATGTGGTTGGAACACTACCTTTTTACATATTGTTAAAATTTACGTTTTGAATAAATCTCTCGGATAGCAAAAGCGCACATCTCTCTTCAAATGTTTTCAGGAAAACAACAAACTACCAAACAGAAATTTGTGGAATATTCTCATCCTTTACGCATATATCCCACCAAACCTGGGAGAATAAGTGGAATACCAAAAGTCGCATGTGGAAAACATGTAGCCACGTCAGGAAGCTGTCGTTTCGTCATATTTGATTTACAGCTTGCAATTGCAGCTGACTGAACCAATATGTCGGCTTGTGGAAAAATCGTGTCTGGAGGTTTCAATGTATCTACCAATCGTGGCGACTCTGTCAAATACCGAGGGAAGGATCTCCCAGCCGTTATCTGGCATGGGGGCGGTGAGATCAGGTTCTGGGGCAGATAGGATCTTGTACCGGCATCCTGGTCTCTTCAAATCAGTCTGCCACTGGATCCTGCTCAACCTTGTTCCTCGGCCAGAAATCTTGATAACTGCAGCATTCCCTTGCTGCATCAATGTCTTTGAAAGATCATTCAAAACACCTACAATACACCTATCCCCCGATTTACACGGTAGATACGTTCCTGAGAAAAACGTGTAATTCGGGGGATAGGTGTACACAAATAAAAATAAAATGCATTGACAGGTTAAAATATGTAGTCAGCACATAAGCTCGGGATTCCTCGTGAGATGTGTACACAGCACATGTGTTCAAAAACAGTAGCATTTAGTATAGTGCGATTAAAAAAAAAAACTTATTTGGAAAACCGTGTAAAAGCGAAAACGTGTAAAACAAGTACCGTGTAAATCGGGGGATAGGTGTACTTCTATTGGTCAACATTCATTTTACTGGAGCTATTGCAATCCATAGATGTATCCTTTCAATACATGAGGGGATTTTATATATGGAATACCATATTTGCACAGCGGTTATTTCGACAAGCAGTACATTGGTATGTCACCTAGTGTATGGCAAGTTATATGTACGTAGTAGCTAGGTGGAGAGAGAAAATGGAAATATTGGCTTGTGTGGATGGATGATTGAATGCCAAATTATAAATTCAACTCATTTTCCAGAGGTAATGTTCCAAGTTACCAAAGAAGATAGATCATACTTGACTCGAGCAGCTGCAAGAACCCCTACATGCTGACACAACTTGAGTTGTGTCTCATTCGGCAGAATCCATGCTAAAATCATCGAACGACTAAATAATACTCTGCGATCTCGAATTCAAACTAGAGGATGTAATAGTGGATCCACAAAATGTTGTTCCAAACCTACAATAGAATTTTCCACAGGAGTCCTATCTCAGACATAATCTCCCTCTCTCTGGATGAACATCAATCTGCTAGTTATGCAACTCTAGGATTTGTTACCTGGTCTCTCTTCCTTCTTTACATACGCTCCCTCTTTCCTCCACTTACATAAGTGACGTTACTCTGGCACATAGCGGAATTTTATCCCATATTGGGATGATGCTCTAACTTGCCGTCCAGTTGCACAAAAATAGTTGTTAGAGTTCTGAGGCCGCCAGCCAACCAGCTGGAAACCTTTGAACATATTTATCGAAACAACCCGAAAGCCCGTATTCTTCCAAGGAAATGTCTGCCCAATGGTGTTTGAATGCATCAACCTTCTCAGAAAGCTGTACTACGGCATAATGAAAACCGCATCGAAATTGGCCAATCCCGAGTTTTCGGCGGACAAAATAAAAATCAACTTCCAGGTATTTAGAGATGTATTAATGTTTTTCAGCATTTGATAAATGTTTTAAAACATCCCCTTCCCCCCCCCCGCTTTTTTTTTTTTTTACTCATAAAATACAATCTTCCTGAAACACTTGTATGTATTGTGGCCATCTTCAACTTTCTAAACTCGGCGTAGTCTTCTAAAAAATCTCGATAAAAT